AGGTATTGATTCGATCTGAAACCAAAGTTATTGTCTTTTGTTGAAATTGAGTAATGGGTTCTTGTTTGTTTTACAGATCACGAACACTTCCACCAATGAATTTCTCAGTTCTCTACAAAATCGTGATTCTTGGGATTATTGGGTAATTTTTGTTTCTCTTTTCTGATTTCTTCAATTTTAAAAGCAATACCCATGTCTGATTTGAGCTTTAATTACCTGAATTCGTCTGCAATTCCGGTCGGGTAAGATCCAAAAATAGATGAAATTATTTGCATAAATTTCTCAGATTTATTTTCTTACCCAATTTTTAAAGAGAAAAAGGAAAGAGACACTTGGCTAATAGTTGCTTCCAAAAGCTGCAACTTTACTGCAAAAATTCTAACCCCATTTTTATTTTATTCTAATAAAATTTTTGATTTTTTTAAGGGGTTGTTTTCATGAATTCTTCTTCTTCGTAAAAACCGGAATTTTATTAGTTTTGGTATATAAAATTTAATAAAAATTTCTTGTTGTTGTTATTAATAAAAAAACTATCAATAGATGCTGCTCAAATGTAATGGGATACACAGGCATCAATTATAGTTCTCCAACACTTGCTTCTGCAATCAGCAACCTCACTCCTGCTTTCACCTTCTTGCTTGCCGTCATTTTCAGGTCACAATCCATCTTTTTATCTCATTCACTATATATTCCTTATACACCATCTATTTACCAAATTACCCTCGGCCCATCAACTGCTTGTTGGGCCTTCATTGTTCATTTGTTGCATTTGAGTTTTTTGATTGCAGGATGGAGAGTGTATCTTTCAAGAGAACAAGTAGTGTTGCTAAAATGTTAGGAACGGTCGTTTCCATTGGAGGAGCATTTATAGTCACTCTTTACAATGGTCCTGTGGTTATCGCTATGTCGCCACCTTCTATTTCTCTGCGATCGCAATCGCCAAACCATAATTGGATACTTGGCGCCGCTTTCCTTGCGGTCGAGTATTTCTGTGTTCCATTGTGGTACATTGTTCAGGTCTAGTCACTGAATGAACTCTATATCTCTTTCTCTCTACGGTTTGTTCGTTTTCTAATAGAATCATATGATCTTTTTGTTTGTTTGTAGACTCAAATCATGAGAGAGTATCCAGCCGAGTTTACTGTTGTTTGCTATTATAGCATAGGCGTGAGTTTCTGGACTGCTATAGTCACATTGCTCACCGAAGGGAGTGACTTGAGTGTATGGAAGATCAAACCGAATCTAGCTTTAGTGTCAATCGTTTGCTCGGTGAGAACATAATCATGTGTTTTTCCTAGACATCATTAGCTTCTTCTAAGCAAATGTTAATTATTGATTGAATCTCTCTATGTTTAGGGATTGTTTGGATCTTGCATAAACAATACTATCCACACATGGGCGTTGCGGATCAAGGGGCCTTTATTCGTTGCAATGTTTAAGCCTTTATCGATTGCGATTGCTGTTGCTATGGGCGTTATCTTCCTCCGAGATTCTCTCTACATCGGCAGGTGAAAAAAAAAACTCAAAACACTTGAAAACTACTTGTGCATCCAAATCAAGTCTAGTAGTTTTGCCATGTTACTAAATAAACCCACTTTGTTGTTGATCACAGTATAATTGGGGCCACGGTGATAACAATCGGTTTCTACACGGTAATGTGGGGCAAGGCCAAGGAAGTGGCGATGGTCGAAGATGACAACAAGGCGGACCACGAGGAGGCCAACGAAGCTGATCTCGACTCACCAGCGGGTTCACAGAAGACTCCTCTCTTGGAAAGTTACAAGAACGATGAACACGTCTAAATTAATATCATCAAGGAATCGAGATCGCTCTATATATACATATATGTATGTGAAAAATTCATATGTGAATGTTTATTTGACGAGACAAATGTGATCTTTAGTTGTAGGAATCAAGTGTCGTCTAATCACAATTTCATAATCTAGAATATATATATAGATATAAAAGTGTCAATTTTAACTTCTTATCTTAGTCACGTTACACCTTACATGATTAAGCACAAGAATGACTCTGATTCAAGGATTCATAATTATAATTAAGTGTTACTAGTTAATTATCCGTAATTATAATAGAATTGATTGTTGAAATAAACATGAAGTGGTCCTGCATATGTATAAAGTATAAACAAAGTCT